TAAACGTTTTGAAAGTGATGATTTCAATGTGAAAGACAAAGAACATCCAGGTCAACTGAAAAAAGTTTGAAGACCAACAATTACAAGCATTATTGTATGAAGATGCATGTCAAACTCAAAAGCAACTTGCAGAAAGATTAATGTTGCTCAGCAAACAATTTCCAATCGTTTACAAGCAATGGGAAAGATTTTTAAGGAAGGAAAATGGGTGCCACATCAACTGAATGAAAGACAAATGGAAAAGCGAAAAGTCATCAGTAAAATGTTCCTTCAAAGGCACGAAAAAAAGTCTTTTTTGCATCGAATTGTGACTGACGATGAAAAGTGGATTTATTTTGAGAATCCCAAATGCACAAAATCATGGGTTGATCCAGGTCAACCATCAACATCGACTGCAAGGCCAAACGGCTTTGGAAAGAAGACAATGCTCTGCGTTTGGTGGGATCAGGAAGGTGTGGTGTATTGTGAGCTTCTAAAACCAGGTGAAACCATTATACTGATCACAACAACAAATAAACAATTTGAACCACGCTTTGATCGTGAAACGACCAGAATGTGCCAGAAGACACGGCAAAGTAATTTTGCTTCATGATGACCCACCATCATACACTTCAAAACCAGTTAAAGACACGTTAAAAGATCTTTCCTGGGAAGTATTAACCCACCCCCTGTATTCACCAGACCTCACTCCTTCAGATTACCACTTGTTACGATGAATGGCACATGCACTTTCTGAGCAGCACTTCAAAACATAGGAAGAAGTGGAAAATTTGGTCTCTGAATGGTTTGCCTCAAAACAAGGAAAGTTCTATTGGGACGGTATCCATAAATTACCTGAAAGATGGGGAAATGTGTAGCTAGCGATGGACACTACTTTGAATGAAGCACTTTTGATGTTTCTCTTGAAATTATCTTGTTTTCTTTGATTACAAAACCCACTATTATTAACCAGTACAACTAGTATTACCCACTTCATGATACAATTAAGTGTTAACAGTTATTCAATCTAGGATTAGTAGCTTAACTCTAATAACCAATGATATGGATCTCTACCTCATCTATTTAGTAATTAGTAATTAGTAATTTAGTAATTAGTCATCTTCACATAGAGGAGATAAAACCAGAGAGTCCAAAAAGAACAGCATACTTTCATCTCTGCTCTTGACTTCAGATACTTCAGACTCAAGAGTCTTGTCTACATTACACCTTTGTTGGACAAGAACACTAAGATGCTTAACATCAAAGCTTAGTTTTATTTGGCATTCAAAATATTGAACTCATGATGCCTAAGGTAGAACGGGTCTGTCAGAAGACGTCTAGCCATGACCCCTCATTTTATGAATAAGGAACCATGAGGCCTGTGCCTGGTTAGCTTCATTGATTTGTCCAAGTCAGAATAGGAGAAATTAGAGACATTGGTCTGGGAGGCAGATCTCCTAGTTTCTTTCCACACCACTATGTGTCTTCACTAAAAATAAAGACAATTTTAGATAAAAGATCAACATTCTTGGAACTCACAAGGATTTGGCACTGAAGAAATTCCATCACAAAGGAAAACTGAAAGATCAGTTAATTCTCTAGTTTGAGGTCCTGTAATTTACAGCAATAGCCAATCATAAAACAAGGTTTATTTCAAAAAGTTTCTCTCAAAACAATGATTATGTTCTCTTGCCAATTAGTGGTACTTTTAATGAGAGTTCAAAGTGAAGCTTAATAAATTCTTTGCCATTTATTAAGATTAAAAAATAAGTCTGATGCAATCATAACCATTCATAGAACTGGAGTCTAAAAGGACTTTTAGGTCAGTATTCATTACGCTAAGGATGACAAAATAACCACCTAAAGGAAAGAGAACACTTTTATTATATAGATTTGGTAAGCAAGTAAAATGACTCCTTTGAAATAATTCTTCACTAAAAGTTCACTAAAACTCAACAGGCCTATAAAACAGCCATCAGTTTCAGCATTAAGCAGAGTTAATATTACTGAGTTGGGAGAAAAAGTGAAAGAATGGTGAGAAAAAAATCCTCGTTAAATATGTAGAAATAAAATGTTTAAGCTAAATACTGAGAGACAAACTTAATATCCAAGCAGTGAACCAAAGTTTCCAAATGGAAAGTCATGAAAACTCATGTTTTGTTAGACAAAGGCAAGACAACAAAGGCCACAGAGTCCACTGCTCCATACAGGACAAACACGAGTGAAGGATAAGTGACGACAGGAATCTTTTCCGTTCCCTCTTCCACCCTCACTTCCAAATAAAGAGGAACCACAGAGAAATATGAGAAGTGGCAAATCAAGAGGGAAGTTACATCTTCTATGGGAAGTAGAAAACCCTATATAGTTGCTAATGCAGTCAACAGAATCTACTTTTACTCAAATCTAAATTAAAGTTAAATATTTTTTTTCTTAATAGTAAAAAAGCCACCCAGTTAAATATAATTGTAAAATATCATAGCTTCAGAATATCTTCAACACTCACCTCTTCTGGGGTGATAACACCTGTTTCCTTAAATTTTGATTCCTAAAGTGAGCAAAAAGAATAACAGTATTATACTACTTTCACTTTCAAATTAAAAATGTTTTTGTGCAGCTGTTTGCCTGGCAGACTTCTAGGCAATGGACCACATACAAAAAAGGAATATATCACTGGTACCTGACCTCAAGAAATATATATGTCTAGTGGAGAAAACTGACATGAAAATAATTTCAAAACAATAATTTGGGGAAATCACAAATATCTTTATTTTACAGAACAGTAAAAATGTCTTAAAGATGTTTAGACATCCCACAATTCAGCCAACATTTCATTTAAATGGAATAATATTAGAAACCAAACCTATAAGTTGTAAGTCATTTAATACTTTTCCGTTATTTTCACCTCCAAGGTACTAATGCAATATTCTCTTCGCTAAAGCAAGGATGTTACCTATCAAATATTTCTAAGTTTTTAAGTTATATGTAAGGCTTTGTGGTAGAGTCTGAAGAAATGCAACGGTTCATTTATGAACATTACTCATTCAACAAATATTAACTGAACAACTATGTGCACTATTTGAGTTAATGGGGGTACAGGAGTAAATAAAATGGAGCAAACTCATCTTTGTGCTCATAAGAACTTTAGACTCTCTAGTGGAGGGACAAAAGCCAAATGGTCATGAATACCATGAATAAAGATGAGGCAGAGAGGAAAATGGACTGGTCCAGGGTGTAAGGAGAGGGGTGTAAGGAGAGGTCAGAGATGGTCAGAGAACAAAGACTTCACTGATAGAGAACTACTGAACAGAGACCGTAGGAAAGGAACCAGCCGCAAGGCTGTCTGGGCGAAGAGCGTTTCAGGCAGAGGGAAGGGCAAATGCAAAACCTGAGGCAAGAGAGGCTTGATGGAGAAACAAAAATAGGTCAGACTGACTTAAGCGAAAGTGAGCAAAGGATAGAGTAGTAGGTACCAGTCGATAGGGGCCTTCTACCAAGAGGCCTGGAGATCATTGTAAAGAGTTTGGCTTTTACTGTACCTATGTCTCTCAAACCATGGTTTTTCTTAATTTTTACCTACTAGGAAAAATAATTATTTCTTTCCCAGGGATTTAGTGTGTGTGTGTGTGTGTGTGTGTGTGTGTGTTTTCCTTGCCTTCCTATATTTGGTAGGAAACTATAAGTATTCTCTCTGTAAACCAACAAGTTTGCACAGGGAGGGGCAAGGAGAGGGCCATTAATTCTGTATTCTTTATTACTAAAAATACATACTGACCAGCTAACATTTCCTTAACAGTTTGGTTAAGAATTTCCTAAAACACAATTCTATGTTATAAGACCAATAAAATACAACTGGCCAACAAAATAGCAGTTTTGTACTTAATTTAGAAGGTCTTTTTCTTTTACTCCTCTCTTCCCGAAACTAAAAAGTTGTAACAATCATGTATCATTTAAATGCTGCATACCTAGGTCCTAGGTAGACAGTTTTCTGAAAAGATGACATAATATGCAAAATAATCATGATTCAACTGTCAAGATGGTTTTCAAATTCAAATGGACTGAATAATCTCAATTAAGATGGGTTTCACAGTAAACAAATATAAGCATAGCAAGGGTTGAAATCTCATTTATAAACTTTTCTGACTTTTTTTTTTTAACTTGGTCTAACAAGGTATCATTTTAAAATCAGTCTCAGAAATAAACATGAAAAGAGTTCAGAACTAACATTTCCCTTTGCCATGGGAAAGGAGCAAAGTAAAAGGGTCCACTATTCTTCTTAGTGTACCAGAATAGCTTCCTGAATAAAGAGAACCATTTCCATGGATACTTCACCCCCACACCAAGATTTGTAAAATGTTAGTGGAAAGCTTAAAAAAAAAACAACATTAAACAAGAACTCGCTATTCAACCATTATAACTGCTCACTTTTCGGAAAGGAAAAAATAAAGTTGCAATAAAAAACTTTACTCTAAAACAATTATATAATAAAAACTTGAATACACTTCTAGAAATTTACCTTGGAAAATAAGAACACCATCCGTCTCTCCTGTAATAGCTAATGTGTCCCGATTTTTACTTTAAAAAATGATGCATTGCCAATGTAAAATCAGTTATATACGCAGGAGGGGCAAAGCTGCTCCTTATTATCGCTGAAGTCCAAGATTAACAACTCGTTTCAGCTATTTTAAAACCCTGGGAAAGGGAGGTTTTGCCTGTTAGCTGGGTTCAACGGTACTGATAAAGTTGCAAATTCACCTTGTTCCTTCGAGATCTAACAGGTTGGGATCTCAGCCACCACTGGTTATTTCAAACTCCTCATCATAAAAAAAGGTTTACACTTGAAAAGTGACATCTGTTATTTTAGTACCAAGCATAGATTTCATTTTTTAAAAAGATAAGCAAAAACTTTGTTTAAAACGTTCAAACGACTACCGATGCTGGGTTTAACGTTCTCAAATACACTGGCTGCGGACTACCTCGCCGCCCGACGTACGCAGAGGCGCCGAGTCCTGACGGGCGAAGGGCGACACGAGTATGCACAGCGCGTCGCTCCAAGTTTCCCCCAAGAGCCGGAAAGCCCTAGGAAACAGCGGCGGAGACCACAGGTGGGGGCTGCACCTCTTCCGGTGTCCCACCTTCCTACACCTTCCCGCGGCGGAGAGCACCGTGACGCCCCGGAGCCCGGTCCTCGGCGCCTGCAGAGTTGAGCGTGTGCCTGACAGCCCCTGGCAAGCCCGACCCGGCTTACCTTGAGGACCGGGGTCAGGTACTCAGCCACTTCCAGTGCCTTTCCCTTCACTGTGTTAATCACATTCTGCATCCTGGGGCCGGGGTAGCGGCCGGCCCCGCGACGGGGTGGGAAGGGCAGCCGGGACAGGGACCCGGAGTCAGAAAATGTCCCCGCGGCAGCCGACGTGCATCGGCACGCGGCCGACGGCACCCGAGGGGACGGGACGCGACGGGACGGACAGGGCGCGGGGGAGGGGCGGCTGGCGCCGCGCGCGAATAGGGCGCGCGCTCCTGCACCCCGGGCAGCGAGGTGGCGGACCGGGCCCAGTTGTCACCTGGCCTCGAGGGAGGGCGGCAGGGCAGAGGGGTGTGTTGGGGAGGGAAGAGCGGGCGCACGCGCACCCCTGCCCTCAGGAACTCTCTTCTTCCCTTGGCTTCATTCGCGCCCCTTCCGGCTTCCCCTTCCTTTTCCCACTCTCTCGCCGTAGCTCCGCCTCCACCGAGGCCTCACGTGACGCAGGCCTCTCGGGACACGTGACGCGAGAAAGGCCGCGCTGGGGCGGAATCAGGTCGCTTCTCCCCGCCCTCCGGAAGCGTAACACTGAGCGCGCCTGCGCAATGGGCGCCGGGTCGGCTCCCTGCCCGTCGGGTCCGTATTGTGCTTTTTGTTTCGTAATAGGTTCTGGGGTAGAGGCTTGTTCGCCTTTCTTTCCCTCCCATAGGTTCCCCGCATATGGATCCTAAAAGCTGCTGCTGCTGAGCTGACTCAGCTTTAGGATGTGAGCTCTTCCACTGGAAGCTCTTCGAGGGAGGAACTGAGGTGACTGCGTCCGACTGGCCGAGCAGTGCGCGTGCGGATGAGGGTGGGCGCGGCAGAAGAGGTCCCTACTGCGCAGGTGTGACAGGAGGCTTTCCCCTGGCCTGGCAGAAGCATCTGCTGTCCTTTTGTGGGAGAGGCGGCTATTGGCCTCTGCACATTGCCCAGTCGAGCTGTCGCTGGTGGCGTTTCAAACCCGTCGCTCAGCAATCCCCCAGTGCGCCATCCCTACACTGGGAGGCTTTCTACAAGCACCCAGCCTGGCGCTTGGTGTCCTCATCATATGCAAGTGTAACCAGATAACCAAGGGGTCCCGGCTGCCTGTCACTACGGAGCCAATTAAGCAGAGATAGGATTGGATCATATAGGAGCGGTTTTTTTTCTAATAACGCTGGCTGTGTGGGAGGGTAGCAGGTCATCCACAGAAATCAGCTCTACCTCTCCCCATAAGCCAGCTGCTTATATTGGGTAGAAGGGCAAAGATTACGTGGGAAAGTAAGAATTACAGGGATGGGGAAGGAGGTAAGGTGTGATGGTTACACTCTACGGGCAGTAGGCTGGGGGTTGCAAAGGGCGGGTGCCTTGGGGACTAGATTGTTTCAGCCAAGAGGTTGTAAATCTTCCCATAAGCATAGGCAGACCTTGGAAAAGGAGCATGGACTGCATTCCGATGTTAGCTCCCATGTCCCAGGGAACACCACTCTCAGCCAGGCTAGAATGTGTGTCTCTAATCAGAACAGAGCCATCTCAGTTAACAGCATGATTAATACTTCTTATAATTGGAGCTAATCCCCAGTATTCTATTTCTGCCCTCAACAAAAGGAGGGCCTTAGAGTCATTGATTTCTAAGTTCCTCCTTACTTCCGTAATGAGCTCAGTGTAAGTTAACAGTAGTGTAATGAAATCTTTCCAAGCAAGCTCTTTTTCCTCCTCCTCAGGAAGAGCTGCCACAGAGGAGGGAAATACAGATCTGAAATCCTCATCTTGTAGAGCAAAGTTGCTAATACAAATGAAAGTTGAAGAATTGCTTTTCTGCAGAATTCTGCAGTGCCCCAAGTGTCAGTTACTCACTTGCTACCTCTGGCAGCACTTCTAATGTGGTTCTTGCCTTTTTTGTCTCTAGAGTTACCCCTCTATCAAATTTTGGTTGTTTTCATTTGCTGTCTCCATAGTTTCTCTTGTGCACTTCAACTTTCTTCGTTTTGATAATAGCCATAGCCAGCAGGGTTACCCATCAAAATTTCTTTTAAAATAGCTTTTAAAATAGCTTTAATCTACCAGTTGGGTTGCTCATGAATTTATTCTTCTTTTTAAGGCAATTCGAAAACAGTGAGATGGAAAGCAAGTGCTGTGGTCATCCCATGTTATGCTCCTTGTCAACAATGTATACATTCTTGCTAGGGACCATATTTATTGCTTTAAGCTCAAGTCGCATCCTATTGGTAAAATATTCAGCCAATGAAGGTAAGTTAAAATTTATAATATGAATGGAGCATTTCCATCTAATTACACATTCTTCTGTGTGTTTTTTTGTTTGTTTTCTTGTGGGTAAAATGGGGATAATACCCTTTCAAGTACTTGGTTTCATGTGAATGATGAAGAATGTTTAAATTGATTTTTTTAACCTTTAATTCTTTAGCAAGAAATATTTTTTATGCTTAGTGAAATTTGGGTCAGTCAAGTACAGGATCCAACCCTTTACAGAACAGATCATAACATTGCTTTAATCAACCAGTATATCTGGGCCTGTAGCAATATGGAGGACATATTTGTTTTGTCAGTTGGCATTTTTGATGTACCATCTTAGTTACTGCATCAGTGGAACAATACAGATTATTAGCTTTGATAAATATGTGTTCAAGAAATCTGTTTTTTAATGTAAGAATTTGTATTTAAACTTACTTTAACTCCACAAAACTATATGGAGAACCTTTCACGAGTTACTGAGGACACATAAGTTTATGACACCATGACCTTTAATGGTCTGCTTGAGAAGTCTGATGTGTCCTAAGTCTCTATTTCCCAGTTAGCATTTATCTGCCAGGCCCTAGGCTAAGTATAAGCAGGGTGCAAAGTGCAGAGAACTTATGTATTTGTATGCTTAGCCCATGGACACAGGCAATAGGGTGGTGAAGAACTGGATAGAGGCTGGAGGAGGGGGAACATCTGTAATACTATCAAAAATAATATATATATAAAATAAATTTTAAAAAACAAAGTGCATAAGACATAGACCTAGTTCTCATGAACAGTTTATTAGGAGAGATATACGTGTAAATACATTGTGAAAATACAACATAATAAATGCAGTTCTATACCAAAGATGAAGAAATTGTTTAGAGTAGACAGTGGTATATTCTATCTGGGAGGCAATGATGTGGAGTGCAAAGGGATAAAGGAATGCTTTTTTGATAAGGTGACAGTTGATCCACAAGAATACAAGGTGGTCAGGAGTATTCAAAGCAGCCTGTAAAAATGAAGAGATACATATAAAAGTAGGGTTGATTGTGAGAAACATGTAGTTCAAAATTACTGAACAAAAAGTTTAAGGCTCAGAGGAAAGGGGAAAGGAATGCTTTGCCAGAGACAGAAGCAATGATCAGATAGTTAAGGACTTCATATCCCATGCTAAGGACCTGGGACTTTATTCTCTAGACCTTAGAGTCTGAGGAATAAGGAGTACTTGGAGTATCATAAACAGAAAGGGAAATGAAAAAGACTATTATGGTAACAGGATGGAGGATGGACGAAAGGGGAAGAGACTATTAGGAGGAAGAACAGGTTGGGCAGAGTTCAGAGAGATAACAGAGTTTTAGTTTTGTACCTTCCATAAGGCCAGTAGCTCTATACTTGTTCATTGCAATATTCTGCAGTGTCTAGCACATCACACATGTGAAGGAAATGCAAATTAATGAATAAATACAAGGTAGTTATTCAAATGCATACGTTTAATGAGCATTAAATGTTCCAGAGTACAGATTTGGAGACATTAATATTAAATTGACATTTAAAACCCTAGAAACAACAGGCTCATTCAGGGTAACATGCAAAATGAGAAAACAGAGCCAAGGACAGAACTCCAAGGCGTGCCAACATTTAGCCATCCTGCAGGCACTCAGAAGGATGCTAAGAAGGAATTGTTAGCGAGAACTAAATGCACATGACTCATAGAAGGAAAGAAACAAGTTTGAAGACAGGGAATTGCAACATCATACTAAGATAAGGGTTAAAACATGCCCTTTGGAATTAGTAATTTATCTATAATAATAAAAGCATAATCTGTTAATTAGACCAGACAGTCGAATGACCTTCCAGACATCATTCCGGACGTCCTTCCAGATGAAGCCACAGTGGCAGGGGCCGAGGTGGATGCGGTTAGGGGCAATCAGGCAGGCAGGCAGAGTGATCAGGGGCGATCAGGCAGGCTGGTGAGCAGTGAGGGGCGATCAGGAAGGCAGGCAAAGTGGTTAGGGGCAATGAGGCAGGCAGGCGAGTGGTTAGGGGCGATTAGGCAGGCAGGCAGGAGAGCGGTTAGGAGCCAGCTGTCCTGGATTGTGAGAGGGATGTCTGACTGTCGGTTTAGGCCCGATCCCGCAGGGATTAAACCGGAAGTCGGACATCCCCGGAGGGGTCCCAGATTGTAGAGGGTGCAGGCTGGGCTGAAGGACCCCCTCCCCCCGTGCATGAATTTTGTGCACCATGCCTCTAGTATATATATATAAAAGGCTAATATGCAGTGTCCCCTTGGGAGTTTGACTGGGAGACCATGAGTTTGATCTAGTGCTATGATGTGCACTGACCACCAGGGGGCAGTGTGGAATGAAGGAAGGCCCTGGCCAGCAGCTGGCAGCTGGGGAAGTAAGGCCCTGGCCAGCAGCAGAAAGGCCTGATTGGCCCTGATCACCTGCCAGGCCTAGGGACCCTACCTGTGCATGAATTTTGTGCACCAGTCCTCTAGTTAGAAGATAATTAATCTCAAGAGTAGGTAGGTTGAGTACAGTGGTAGGATCAGAAACAAGATTGCTCTGGGACAAGACCTGAATGGAAAATGGGTAAATGGAGATAATGAATATTGACACAGTTTTAGGATGAGAAGGAGAATGTATAGTAGTTGAAGTGGTAGGATCTTATACAATGTTTTGTTTTTTTTGGATGAGAGAGTTTTGAGCAAATTTTAGGCCATGGGGAGGAAACCAGTTACTACAAAAATAAAGGAGACACTTAAGCCAGAGTACTTACTTATTGGAGGAAAGTCCCTAAAGATAAGGGGAGATTTTAAACAGGAGAATGGGTGACTAGTGGGGCAGGAGCCCCTTTTTGGGGCAATGAAAGACACCAGTAAGGATGGATGTAATGTAGATAAGATATGTGAGTGTGGGCAGAAGGTGAGTGGAGGGAGGTCCCACATGATGCTGAGACAGTTTGGAGTCAACCATGATAGAACTATAAGAAAATAAGAACAAGAATGAATTGAAGAGTAACTACAAGAGTTTAAGAGTTGTGTTCTGAAACCTCCACCCAACCCCATTCTTGTTTGTGCATGTTTGCTGGTGTGTATCATGAGAGAGATCAATGCAAAGTATTGGGAGGAAAATAGAATGTGATTTCAGTCTAGCTTTGAGCTCAGAAAAGGGAAGAGATCTTCTAACTAGGCTTTGAATAATGGAAAGTTTAACAGGCAAATAACTAAATTTAGCTTAACATTTATTAAGTGCCCACTAAGTGCAAAACACCATTAACTGCCAGGTATATGAAGATGACTAGCATGGTCCCTTCCTCATGAAGAGTTTACATTCTAAAGGTAAGACACACACAAAATATAACAACAATACAATGTGGTAAGGACTGTTATAGAGGTTTGTAGGTAGTGGTACAGGATCAGAGATGAATAAAAAATTATGCTTAGGTTGAGAAGATCAGGGGAACCACAGGGAAAAGGAAGAAAGGGTGTTCTGGAGAGAATGTCAAGTTGGTGTTTTTCCTCTGTACTTGGCCAGTTTGGGTTTTTAATATGATGACCAAGGGAAGCAAGGAAATGTTTTCAAAAGGGGGCAAAACGCATTCCTCAGAAGAGAACCTAATAACATTTATGTTTGTCCTTGGCAAAATTATAGAGCAAGTTGTTTGTAAGCATTTGGAAAAAACAGTGGTAACAGCTAAGACCAAGGCATGCTAACCAAACCTCATTTCCTAATTAGATTGACTTGTAAATTAGGACATAGCTTTTCAACTCATCAGTGGGTTCTTGACTGTGTCAGAGCATTTTCTCAGCCGTAGAGTAGCCAGAGCCCTGGACCAGTTGCCTTTTGCCTCAAATAGCTTCCTTCTTTTATCCCAATATACCATTTGCTCTGGAGTGCCAAACAAATATTTTCTTTGTGTGCCATGATATGAAACAGAGAGGAACACTCTTGATTAAGGGAATATCACAGAATATACCTTGAGTTGGGTATAAGGCTAACAAGTTGCACAAGAGGCACCATGAGCTGAGTAATAATTCAGCCAGGTAAAGTCATAGCTGTTTGAAGAGTAAGGCCCTGAGAATTGATTAATGGTCAGTTTAGAAGGCAGTCTCTAATGCCATGCCACAAAGCTTTTATTGCCCATAGCCCTAGCCTCACCATATTCATCAGCAACGTGGATGAAAACATGAGAGGCATATTTATCATATTCAAGGATGATAAAATGCTGAACGGGGTAGGGAAAGATTAAACAGTAGGTGAATTGATTAAAAAACCAAAAGAGCAAAACCAATTGGACGAAATTTAATACAACCAGCATTACAATTCAGCTTTTAAAAAACAACCCTAAATTATTAGCTGTATATAAGCATTATATCAAACAAAATTTATAATTAAAAAACATTTCTGTTACATTTCAGAGAACAAATATGATTATCTTCCAACTACTGTGAATGTGTGCTCAGAACTAGTGAAGCTGGTTTTCTGTGTGCTTGTGTCGTTCTGGGTTATAAAGAAAGGTGAGTCTTGAAGCAATACTATATACTATATACTATATACAATCACAGAATCAAAAAATTTTAGAAGTGGCAGGCAAGAACATTTTATATCATTTAGCCCAGGGGTCGGCAAACTGCGGCCCCTCGAGTGTGGCTCTTCCACAAAATACCACGTGTGGGCGCACAGTACAGTGCGATTGAAACTTCGTGGCCACACTCAAGGGGCCAAAGAGCTGCATGTGGCTCATGAGCCGCAGTTTGCCGACCACTGATTTATATATGAGGATACTAAAATACAAACATAATTATGATAATCTGTGTTTTTCAGGTGAAGAAATGGGCTCAGAGAAAAGTCTGAGCAGTTCTGGGTAGGAGGGCAGAGCCAGGACTCCAACCCACGTTTTCTAGTGTCCTGTCCGTTGCTTTACCTTCTGGCTTTTTCTTATAATGGGCCATACAGTGAGTTAGTTTATATTCAAATTCAGGATTTTTAAAAATTACTCCTGTCTGACTTAGTGTATAGCACATTGCAAAGATATCCCCTTTTCCACCAGCAGAGGTAGTATAGTGCATTGGAGTCAGAGAGACTGTATTTAGGATAGATTATTTTAACTTTTTTGAACTCGAGTTTCATCAACTGTCAAATAAGGACATTAATCCTTCCTCAAATTGGCAGTATCTAGCCTTTTGTGGCTCTTTAGTATATATTTATTCTTCACATGCACTTCCCAGTTAATGAGGCTTTGCTCTCTTTGTTACTTTCATCTGCCTTCCCATATGAGGTAAACAGAATTTAGTAAAGGGCTTGTACAAGAAGATGACTTGTCAAGCTCAGGGGTTTCAGTCTGCACAGTTTCCAGTTAGTGGAATATATTTCTTAATCTCATGAAATCCATTATTTACAGGCCTAAAATACTTAAGTTTTCTTTTTATTTTACATTCTTTCTATTATAGTTCAAAAACTTCCTAAGTTTTTGAAAATCTAGAAATGGGACAATAACTCATAGTAGGATTAGTAAAAGTTAATTTTTTCTACTTCCCTAGATAAAATTTTTCACCTAGTATCTCCCTTTCCTGTTCGTCCACTCTCAGGGAATAGGGAATAGGTGGGGAATACCAGCCTGAAAGCTTGATTTTTTTTTTCTTTTCATTTGTTGATCTCTTGGTTTTATGCTCTCAGTACCATGAGAAACACAAGAATATCCTCATTCGCCTTAAGTGATACTTATATTTCAAGGTAACAGAAATTAGGAGAATCAGTAATCCTAAAGTGTTGCTAATTGTCAGTGATGATGCACAGTGGTGGGGCACAGAAAGACAGCATGCAATGAAATTCTGTATTGTCTTTGATTTCGTAAGGATAACAGTCATTTATGAAAGCAAGTTCATAAAGCCTCTTTTAAAGAATTGTGTCAAAAAGCAAATATAATTTACTGTCTATAAAAATATGGACATTCTTCTCAAGATCATTTATTTATTGCTGTATTTCTTTCTTTAGAAAATCATCAAAGTAGAAACTTGAAATGTGCTTCCTGGAGGGAGTTCTTTAATTTCATGAAGTGGTCCATTCCAGCCTTTCTTTATTTCCTGGATAATTTGATTGTCTTCTATGTCCTTTCCTATCTTCAACCTGTAAGTAAACATGACAAAGAAAATAGCATTGGGAAAACACAGAGAAATGAATTTCAGGGCTGATCTTTTTTTTTTTTTTTTTTTAAATCATTTTCCGTGTCATTGTTAGTTTCTCATTGCCCTTCCTGGCCTTCCTGAGGTTTGAGAATCATCTGAGTAATGACTTACCAATCTGCTTGCCAGATTCTATCACTTGTTAAAGTTTGCTGTATTAAACTGCAGTGACTATTCAAGAGTTGCTCCCTGGCCAGTGAATCTGGATCCATCTCTGTTTGTGTAACCTTAACCAATCTGCCTGTTTTCTGAGCCATCCTATGATCACCAGCCTCTAAAATTAATTTCAGCATCCAGATCCTCCACAGAGACTTAACTTAGAAAGTTATACATTCAGTACTCTGCTCTTTCTTACACCTGCTTTAGTGTAGTTTATATATATGCTAGAGGCTCAGTACACGAATTCGTGCATGGATGGGGAGAGGGACCACGGGAGGTTGGCCAGCAGGCCCGGATCTAGTTGTGTAGATGTGCTGAGGTAGTGGCAAGCAAAGACCACAGGCATAGCGCCCCCACACGGCCTGAACACCAGCTACGCTCTGAGATGAAAATATAGCTCAACTTCGCTGCCCACCCTTGGGCAGCCTCACTCTCCCTGGGGTGGAGTTGCTGACAGACAGACAGGTCATCTCTCCTACCTCAGCCGCACCTTTTCTCAGGGCTCCGCCCCCAACATGATAGGTGGCTGACTTCGGCCAGTGGCACACCACTGTAGGAGTGCTAGCCAGTCAGCGGTTGGGAGCCTGGAAAGGCGCGGGCAAGAGCTAGAAGTGGCTGATGGGGCAGAAGGGTAAGCGGCCCGCACATGCAGTGGCAGAGGTAAGATGGCAGTGGTGCTTACTTTACGTCTTTGCAGTTAGGCTGCTGCCTTGCCCCTTCTGCCCCCTCCGAGCTGCTACTCTGTCTTGATCAGCGTTGGGGTCGCTCTCCTCTTATGGGCTTCCCAGACCCAGATTCTCCAGTGCCCAGAGGCTCCTGTGTTGAGTGTCTGTCCCCTGGTGGTCAGTGCACATCACAGCGACTGATCTTTCGGTTGTAATGGTCACCTAGACTTTTATATATATAGATATATTTTTGGTATGATTTTATTTTTATAGTCCTCTCTTAACCAGCAAGTACTTTAAGGGTAGAGATTGTATCCTCCGGACTCTAAACACTACCTATAACTTGATAATACTAGGAATATTTCTTATCTCTATCAGCATTCTTAGGCCAATTTAGAGAACCATTAATAATCAAACTTAAAATTTGGTCTCCTGCTCTTACCTATTACTCAGTTTGGGTCATGTGTGTGTTTTCTCCTAATGCTTTATAAAATGAACATTTCTGTTGCCATTGTTGCCAAAATGTGTTATAAATTTTAAAGAATAAGTTCGGGGATTTCTATCATAAATAGTATTTTTATTGGTTGTAGTCTTCTATGTGAAGTCTCTTAAATATAGCCAAATTAGTTTGTGAGTGGTATGAAAAAGAGGGATCAATGGTACACAGTAGTAGAAAACAGGAGTTTGATTCTTTTGCACAATTTAGAAGCTGTGTAACTAGGCACGCCCCAACTGCTCTGAGTCAGTTGCCCATTTGTAAAAGAGAATAATGTTACCACACCACTTGTACTGGGTGGTCACCTGAAGTTCTTTTCAGCCCTGTGACCCATATTGTTATTATTACTAAGTGTTCATTTCATCTAAACTGTGTCCTCTCCTAAATTCTTGCTTCCACTTTCTCAGATCTGAGAATTCCTGTACCCAAAGACATAATTATTCACATTCAATAAGTATATATTTGTTTTATTTTATTTGTATCCAATAGATTATGTTCTTAAATTCATAGCCCTTCCCTGCATTGATCCCCAGTACCAAAGTAAAAGTATAATTTCCTGTTTTTTTCTTCCAAGTTACTGCTTTGCTCTTCCTTCCTGATTGTGTAAAACCACAAATATTACAAAATAAATCACATGGCATATTCTTTGTATTGCGGTGCCCAAGTCTAATTGGAAAGAATTAAATAGAGATAAATGGAAGTTTGGGGGCAAAGAGGTCTTGCTTTTTATTTATTCTGTACTATTGCATACAAAGAGTTTTCAGAATTCATCAGGCCAGCCAGGATGCTTGGTTAGTGCATTTTCACTGCCGTTATTGTGACTGATCAGAGCCACCACTTCCCCACTCTTACCAGCCACTTTCTTCATCTCCTTTTAACTAGGGGTTCGCAAGCATTTGTCTACAGAGAAGGACACTGAGGAAACAAAATAGTCCCATAAAAATTCAATAGAAAAACAACAATGTTGTATTCTTGGAATTTTTGTTAATTGTTATTGGATTTACTCTTATTTCTTTAATTCAGCTTCATATTAGCCATATGTGCTGGTTATAAAAGATTATTGATACTCTTTGGAGTTTAATCATTTTAAAGTGACAGCAAGGAGGAAGTCAGGGTGAACTAAATCAGTAGGATTTGTTTTTAAAAATTAATATTGTCAGGTCCAATTATGAGGGGCAGTGATGAAATTTCATACTTTCTCAGCCAAAATGTATACATGTTCAGATTAATAGTCTCATGTGAAATATGACTGAATTTACAAAAACAGACCTTTATGAAATTTGGCTAACACATTTCTAAGTTTTTAGAACAATGTGAATAAATCCAAAGGACTGTTAGATATAAGTTTGGTAGTGAATCACTGGTATTGAGTCATTGTAGTTCAACCAGGAAAATGGATTCAGTTTCTACAACAGGTAGGATGCTTAAAAGTCTGCATCCCAATTATCTTAATTTATAAATGGGCCTAACAGATTCTGTCTTCTCTCTACCCATAGAACAGTATTAGAAGTCTATAAAGCACTTTGAGAACTTTAAAAAGTATGCTATAGAAGCATGGTAACTGTTATTTCAGACCCAAACCTTTAGAATTTATAAGTATTTCTAAATCTGCACATACAGATTATTTACACAGGCATTTTCTGAATTTCAACACATTTTGAAATCCTGTACAATAATTTGATCATATCTGCATAAATTTAACAAGCAATAAAAATGGAATTTAATCCTCTAGTGAAATAGCTGCCCTAATAACCCCTCAAGTTTTTGACCAAAGAGCTTTTCTTGTCAGGTGAACCACCGAGCTGGGAGATTTCTGAGGTCAGTACTTTATTTGGATTGTAACTCTATCTCTTCTTTCTTTCTAGGCCATGGCTGTTATCTTCTCGAATTTTAGCATTATAACAACGGCTCTTCTATTCAGGATAGTACTGAAGTAAGTAACTTGTTGTGAAAGCATATGTGGTATTTTAAAACGGCACAACCTTGTTTCAGGTGATATGCCCAGAGCACTGAACCCTCCGGTTCCCAAGGCCAGGATTTTATTCCTTACTAGAGGCCTGGTGCACGACTTCGTGCATGGGTGGGGTCCCTTGGGGTGGCCTGTGGGGATCAAGCCCCAGCTCGCACCCCCAGGCTTGCAGCCCCAGCTCGTGCCTCCAGCCTCGCAGCCCCCTGCCCCGCCTGGCACCCCACCGTGGCCTGGCGCCACCCCCTCACCTGCTCCACCATCCCGCCTGCTGGGCAATTGGGCATGGCCCCCCACCCCCCACCACCAGTCACCATCTGCGGGGCGATCGGTGAGGCAATTGGCCCCCACTCACACCCGCGTTGGCCTGACACTGCCCGCTTACCTGCTCTACCATCCCACCGCAATCCCGCTCTCATTGGGGCCAACAGCGCCTCCACTGCCACCTGCTGCCAGCACTGCATCACCAACACCCGCCATGTTCTGTGCCACTCCCTGGTGGTCACCACACATCACAGCAAGTGTTTGAACTCCCGGTCGAACAATTTGCATATTAGGCTTTTACTATATAGGATTGGCTCTGTGTGTTGGCAAGTTGCTTAACCCACCTAGAAAACAGCTCCACTGCTAGTCTGTCTGAATCCTCTGTGATTCCATGTTTCAAATGTTTGTTTTTTTTCTTAGCATCTCAATAAAGCAAAGATAGTTGATGGGGTTATGAGTATTTTAATTTTTAATGCCAGATTTTCAACATAGAATTCCTGAGGTGTTTTTGTTTTTTCGTTTTGTTTTGTTTTGTTTGCAGAATCTATATTACAGTACGAGGGAACCAAGAAGTTCCTAAAATTAATACACATTTGTTATTTGGTGTTTGGAAAAGATAAAGAGTAACAAATTCTTTGTTAAACTACTTGAGATGAGTACATGATTTAAGTTCTAACTGGCAGAGTATTTGCATGAGAAATCGAATTAATAAAAATGATAGATTTTTAAACTTCAAATTTCTATCACCAGTCTTTCCTATCTCCAGGAAGACCTTTGGGTAAAATTAAAACATTTTCAACCGAATTGGCTCTGCTCCCAAGCAAAAATCAAAATGTTCTAAGGTGGAATGGGGTCTGGGCACTTAACTCCAATTTGATTTGTTACTTAATGATGATGTTGATGATGATAAAAATACAATTAACTTCTTGTTATATTTTTTGTAATTGTTTCATTTTAATTTTGCATTCACTTTTCCTTTTTAATTTCTTATTTCTCAGTGTGCTATGTCATAGGGTGTTCTCATAATTTATATGTACAGGTGATGAATGGCTTGATGCATAGGCACTTAGTAAATATTTGTTGAATCCATGATGCCTTCAGTACATAAATTGCATGGAATTCTTAAAAGATTTTCTTTTATCCTGAGAAAACATTCAATTTAATAATTGATGTAAGAGATAGAAAAAAATGAAGATTTTTGTGTCATCCGATTTAAATGTTACAGTACACTAAAGTTTGCTTTTGCTTATTTTATGAATTTTTTTCACTTTATTCGTGAATTATGAAAAGAATTCAATAAGCATATTAAAGAATGCTGTTCTAAAAACATTTTAAAGTCAACATGAAAGTCATTTTGAAGGATAAAAAGTTGGCTTCTGAGAAAATATATAAGCAATCATATTTTTATATCAATTCCTATAATAAAATTAGAGATGCATTTCCTTCCATAAGGGACAAAGAATTGGCTCTGACACATAAAAGGTTCACTATATAATAAGGGTGCAAAGATCTCAAAAACGTGGGTTTTTCTTAAGTAAATTTTTTTTCCTCTGAAATGATAGTTTATAAGTAAGTTATTATATAATACACTAGAGGCCCAGAGCACAAAATCGTGCATGAGATCAGGGCCATCTTCCGCCTGCTCGCCAGTCCCCAGTTTCGCCCTGCCACCACCCACCCCAGTTCCCCATGGTTCTCCGTTTGCCATCCTATGATCGGAGCCTGTGGGCCCAGGGGAGGGACCGAGAGGTGGTCAATGCACCTTATAGCAACTGGTCAAGCAGTCGTTCTGGTCATTACGCCGTTATGGTCGCTGGGCTTTTATTATATAGGACAGTGATGGCGAACCTATGACATGCGTGTCCGAGGTGACACGCGAACTCATTTTCTTGGTTGATTTTTCTTTGTTAAATGGCATTTAAATATATACAATAAATATCAAAAATATAAGTCTGTTTTACTATGGTTGCAAATATCAAAAAATTTCTATATGTGACACGGCACCAGAGTTAAGTTAGGGTTTTTCAAAATGCTGACACGCCCTCAAAAGGTTCGTCATCACTGATATAGGATAATATGTATTATATCAATGTACCATGTCAAAATTACATTAGTTTAAAACTAAATTTACCAAGGAGAAGATATAAAGTATGTATTGCCTAATTTGAAATCGGCCAGTAATTTGACTCCAGAGCATGAGCTCTGAGGCCAAGGTGGGGGTCCACTTAGAAAGACCCTACTTACCCAGAAATGATTCAGCTGCCCTGTAGGCAGCAGGGGCAGGGAGGCTCTCGGCCAGGCAGTGATGAGAAAATACTTGACTCAGGGCCAAATGCTACACTGAGGGCCTTTCCTCCCTATTTTGACTTAATCACACATTGACCCCATGAGGCAGGTATAGTCATTGTCCCTATTCATCAATAGATTCATCTCAAGCTGCATCTGTGCTTGGAGCCCAGAATTGAAGTGATTGGGTGGTTCCCTTTGACTGTGAGGAGAGAGTGTCTGGGTTGGACAAGGCTGGGGGCAGAGGAACCGACTTGAAATGAGCTACCCCTTTTCATGCAGAGAGTGCCACACCATGGGCAAAGATGGGCCTGTCAACTTTTTAAGCATTTAACAATTTATGTTAACACAGTTCATTTGTAATGTAACCAAATCCAAATCTCTGCTAGAAACCATTTGCTTGTAATACTATGAAATATAATAATGTTAATTGTATTCTTGCTAGTTTTATTGAAAATTAACATTGTTATAAACTAAAATTTAAAATATTTTTTTCACATTTTTACCTCTTGATATTCAGAGCAGTAATATTGATTCCTAGATATGTGTTTGCTTTGCGGTTAACATCTCTGTTTTGATTCCTTGAAAGTTATTTATGTTAAAGAAACAATTTATAAAGTACTCAATTTTTATTATTTCCTTGAGCATTAACTTAATTCTCAGTGCATCATAGTTTGACTGATTCATAACAGCACTGAAGCTACTCTGAAGTACAGCTAAAATATAATAGTAAATCTAATACTATCTTTTATAAGAATACCTTTTAAGTATTCTGTTATTACATTTTAATATCAACTTTATTTTGTTCTATTTCAATAGTTTTGTTGTTGGTGGTGTATTTCTGTCTGTTTTTCCCTGTTTAATCTATTCCAGTGATTCTCAACCTTCTGGCCCTTTAAATACAGTTCCTCATGTTATGACCCAACCATAAAATTATTTTCGTTGCTACTTCATAACTGTCATGTTGCTACTGTTACGAATCGTAATGTAAATATCTGATATGCAGGATGATCTTAGACGACCCCTGTGAAAGGGTCATTGGACCGCCAAAGGAGTTGCGACCCACAGGTTGAGAACCGCTGATCTATTCAGTGTCTCATTTGATGGTCTTTTGCCCTTGGCAATAAAGTTTTGACCCAAGAGTAGCAGCTTGAGTCCTATCACAAAGTCTTAATTTATTTTTCATAAATAGCTCATATTTCATTTAGAATATTATAGCTCTTGTCTCATACTTCACTCTAGTAGAGCCATCAAATACCCTTCCCATACAGATAAAGAATTTAAGGCTACACTGGGAATTTGCTTTTGCTTGTCTTCTTTGTCTGTGGAGGTTTCATGGAGGAAGATGCATTGCAGGATTGGCTCAGTGGAAAGATAAAAACTGTACCACAGTGGTAAACAGGGTATAGGAGGTCTGAATCATTGGATTAATGCTGTGTTGAGCACATAGTTGGAAAGGAAAGAAGATGCAATCTAATGAAAGAAACAAGGCATTTCAAGGCATTTGTTCCTCCCCATTACCGGAAAGGAGTTGTGATACCTTACAGTAAATACATATATACCATACACTGGGCAATTGCAGGAAAAAGGTAAAAGATCACAAGGAATGTAGAGAAGGAAAAGTAATTCAGAGGAACGGCAAGGGGCTTTGAAGCAAAGGTGGTAGTTATTCCAACTTTAGTTTGTTCAGATTTCCAGAAGTCTTGTGGTGGTCAACTGCCATCATGTTAGCTGAAACTTAAATTAACTGGTTTGTCCTCATCTAAATTTTAAGAGACAAATCAATAGGGCCTGGGAGTAAAGAATCAGATCTCATTGCAATGAATTTTTACATAAAGCAAAAGTTTTTCAACTGCTGGTTTATATCCAGCAATGTTATTAAGTATAACATTATAACTCTATACATATATAATATTTTGGTATTGTCAAAAGGGTTTCAGAAGGAATGCTGGTCAAATTCTGTTACAACAACTTTCAGTTCTTTGTGATGAGTTGTGATAGAATCTGACCCATGTCTGTGGCCCAGGACCTTGACCACGCTCACATAGTTTGTTCTTCACTAATTAATTCAATGGAGGGACATTTGGTTTTCTCCCTGATCAGATAGTAAAAGCCACCCATGATATATCTATTCTCTGTGGACATTGGGAGTCCTTTGACATTAGTTTAAAAGGAGCCTCCAGCATAACTCAGGGTTTTATTTTTGAACTTAAAAATGTGCTTTTAAGATTGGGCTAAGAAGTGATTTTGAGGCAGAGATTTGGGTGAGTAAGGAAAAGCAGAGGATGATTGTGTTAATTTTATTTTTCCAAGTGATGTTCAGGCCATGTCCTCTTGCAGCTTTGGCTGGAGTCAGAGGATTGTCAGAACTGCTGGCAGCCAGCTGCAGAGCAAAAGACAAAAATGGTCTTTGTTTT